GGGAAATGGTTCAATTCAGAGACACAAACCCTGTTTCTGCCTCATCCTCACCATTGATGTGACTTCTCTAATTGCACTTTCCGATTGGTGCAAGAATAACAGCTGACCTTATAGAACAATTGTAAGGATTAAATGATCATTTTTCATAAAATGTAAGATGTCATTGGTTATAAAATGTCCCATTATTTTATCTGTTATCAGAGAAGAAGATATGCTGCTTAATACTTAGGATAAGCCATTCATTTTCATATTTCAGAGCTGATAAGTTGTGAAAAGTGGTTTATCTTATAATCAACAAAATAGAATTTAAGAGGATATTGCATGCAAAGTGCTTAACAAGATAATCTGGTTTATTTGATGGATAAGCTATTTATGAAAGTGGTTAAAAGATGTCTTACACATGGCGGTATAGGGAGTTAAGTAATGTACCAAAGTTTGCTTGGTTATATAGGAGAGACATTTAAGGAAGGGTTTTCTATTGGATTGTAATAGGATTAAAACTGACAGAAAAATCAGGATATTGATTTAACACAATATTGGCTTCTTAAGTGGATGATCTCCACACTGTATTGTGATAGCAGCAAGGACTTCTTTTAAGAGTTTTTTTTTTTTGAGATGGAATCTCGCTCTGTTGCCCAGGCTGGAGTGCAGTGGCATGATCTCAGCTCACTGCAACCTCTGCCTCCTGGGTTGGAGCAATTCTCCTGCCTCAGCCTCCCAAGTAGCTGGGACTACAGGCATGTGCCACCATGCCTGGCTAATTTTTTTTTTTTTTTGGATTTTTAGTAGAGACAGGGTTTCATCATGTTAGCCAGGATGGCCTCGATCTCCTAACCTCATGCTCTGCCCACCTTGGTCTCCCAAAGTGTTGGGATTACAGGTGTGAGCTACCGCACCTGGCCTAAGATTTTTTTTTTTAAAGCATGACCATGATCATAAAAATTCTTTTTCCACCTAGTTGTTCTGTTTGTTTTTCATAATTATCAAATAATTATGGCATATAAGACTTGAAAACATTGAAGATGGATTTGATAATCCAGTTCTCAGGAGGTCTAGTTCTGGCCATCTTCCTAATTTTTGAAAACCATGAGAGGACCATTTCCCCGGGTATTTTCGTTTACTCCAGATGTGAAATCCAGCTGACCATTCTTTAAGATTTTCTCAGTTTCAGCACTTTACCACTCCCAGATTTTCCAAAGAGTTTAAGTATGGTAGACTCTCTGTATTAACAATGTAATATTTTTATGAGCTCTAAGGATCACAAATTAGAAGCAAATTTGGGCCCTTATTTTCTAATACTTTGGTGAGATGTATGTATGCATCTTGCAAAATATTCATCTGATATAGAAAGGCAACAGGATTCCTGAAATATTTTGCTGAAAATATCGGAATGCATTCAACTTCTTTGGGTTTTCTTATTGCTTTAATCTAAATATTTTGGATCCTTTGTTGTACTCAAGTTTAGATACATGAAAATAGATGCATATTTTAGAGTTATAATATGAAATATAACCTGGTGGGACCTCTCCCGATTTCTGGAACTCTAGGTCAACTGTTATCCCATGACCAAAATCCAAAGCAATGGTCCTCATATGTTATTGGTATATTCCGTATTGACATGAAATAATAAACACCGTAGTACTAACACAGCAGTACCTTTTGTTTGGGGGCTATTTGCTTAGAATTATGTGTTTCTCGTAAGTTCTTTAAAAATGGCCTTGGTAGCCTGCCACTTGCCTGATGGGAATATCCCAACGTTCCTGGAGCTACAGAAAAAAAAAAAAAACACCCCACATGTTGGCAAACACCAACCTAAAGTTCAAGTCTTTTTATAGTAACATGGAAGCAGACATATGAAATTATTATGCCACATTTCTGCCAGATTTTGACATTTAACATAGTCTCTGTTATAAAGCCACCAAGCCCTGCAGCTGTCCAGAGTTTCTGCAGTAACAATCTATTCATGTTCACTAAGGCAGCTGCCAACCCCCATGGCAGATAGGCAGGTAGGCAGGTAGGTAGATGAGATCTCCTAGCTATAAGTAGGAGAAGCCAGGCTGCAGGGACGGAAGGACATGTCAGTCTCTCCCAGAGCCAGAGTTAACGCATGTGGTCCTGTTTGGGTTGCTTTGTCTTTTCAAAATGTGGGCTGCATTTCACCCCTTTCGAAATGTTTATCCTGAATTTCCTTATTTTTAAAATCTTTCCCTTCTAATGAACAAAAGCAACTGAGGGGTTGCTTCTAATATTCTGAATTATTTCCCCTTTCTCATTTTTGTGCAATATTAACTGTGAGAAGAATTTTACGATTCAAAGAAAGGAGGCGTGCCTCCTCTATCTCTAGCGTTTCCAAGGGTTTTTTTCCTTCCTAAATTCATCTCAATTAACTTTGATTTCTTTCTTTAGAGAACCATGTGCTGAAATAATGCTTTGCCAGATGTGAGAATGAATTCCTCCCCCTACAAACACACACTTAAGCTTCATTTGGGTTCTAATATTTTGGTCTTTTTTTTTTTTTATTTAATCTTACACCGTATTTATCTGGCTTTTGGGTTTGTTTGCAAGAATATCTGACTTCATCTTGGAAAGGTACTAATATTTTAAAGTTATTGCTTGCTTGTTGTTGGTGCAGCCGTTTTCTTTTTAGTTTGTAATTTTAAATTTAGCCTGTTTCTTATATATATAACCTGTTTTTGCCAATTTCTGATATAAATCACACATTTGTTCATGTTTCTCATCATGGGTAAGCCAAAGCTAACATTACATAGTGTGTTATTCCCCTCCGAGTCTTGGTCGAGACTCAGGCCCAGGAAGGAGGGAGGCAGCAGCCATCAGCCCTGTTTCCTGTTCTGAGGGTGTAAAACACACTACCCAATGCTACCATGGGAAGGGAGTATCTGTTTTGCAAAAATTATTTAAGAAGGTTTAATTTTTGTCTTAATGAGCATGACTACACTAAGTCTATGGTGCTGATTTTACTTTGAAATGCACATCTATGAGTTTAGACTCCTTGATTTGGTCACTCAGTTGTGACCAGAAGAGAAAGCCAGTGAAATTCAGATTCCCTAACATCTAGGATGCCATTTCTGTACCGTCAACTTCTGTGCCACTGCCTTGTATTATTTTTGTTTGTGGATGAGTTTGATTCTGCTGTCTCTTCAAGGTGATTTTTTTCCTTGTGCCTGATTCTGGTTCTCTGTCTGGCATAACTGACTCTTTGGTACGTTTTGCATTACAGTTTGAACTCCAGGCTTCATCTTTCCCAGGTGTCACAGGGCTGTCATTCTATAGATTCTAATGGAGTCGAGGGTGGGGGCTTGCATATGCACAGATGCCTGACCACCACTTTGAGAGACAGAGGTTCAAGTCTGTTTGATTGTTCTGCCTTGCTGATTCTCAGTGCAGTGTGTGTCTGGCAAAGAAGTTTGTGCACATGGGAAGCTAGGGAAAAAAAACGTGGTCCTGGGGCAGGTAGGGGATAGAGGGACAGAGTACATGTGGGATTGGGGAGTGATTGTTTCCTGAAGATTCTGATCCTTTTAGGTGGGGAGGGAGGTCTCCATCTAAGAAAGGCTGCTTCTAGGGTGCAGTGACTGATGGGAAGCACCCTCATTTACTTAAAGGTCAGCTCAAAGAAGAAGAAGAGGGTGCTAATTTAAACACATGTCCCAAATGAAAAAAAAAAAAGTCATAAAGGGCATCACAGGGCTGTAGGGACAAGGGGAAGGCAGACGGTAATATACAAGTCATTCCCGTCACCATTCCCTGCTTGATCATGGCCAGCTCATTCAAGATTAACTCTAGACCTTTCTGGGTCTCAGGTTTCTCATCTGGAGGTGAGAAGTTTGCACTGGAAGGGTGTGCACAGCCCACACACCCCCTGCTTTCCCTGCTCTGGCTCCAAAGTTGTTGTTGTTGCTTTCCCCCTTTTTTAATAAAAATATGTGGCCCAACTAGCCTTTGCTTCTCACCAGTTGATGTCAATACTGAGGATGGCAAAAGACCAATATAAAAATGAGCATTCATATGGGTGTTTTTGTCTATCATAAGAACCAAAATGGGATTGTATCACAGCAGCTCTGTGTCATGGCAGCACAAGACATCGTTTAAGTAGTTGAAATTTCCCGGTCAAACTTGCCATAGCTCATTGGCTACAGAATATAAACATAGCCCTTGGCTAACCACTTGTTTGACTTAAAACCACGAAAAATGATTGATCCAACAATGACAAATTGCTATTTCTTCTCACCAAATCATGCGAAAGAGCAAAGATATTAATTAATAGAAAGTAAGGGGAAAAAAGAGCTTGTCAGTGGTCCAGATCTTTTAAACATCCTGGTGTTTGGAAGCATCTGGACACCTCACAGCTTTTTTTCTTTTTTTTTTTCTTTCTTTGGGTTCATTTATCATCCAGATGTTCACCATCATGGAAGCACCACTTGAAACTCTACTTCAGCTAATAACTTCGAGTGGGAACCTTTGTATCTTTGGTTGGTTGCCCTTTGGGGCTCCATTGATCCCTCTGTCTTCCTCTAAGTCCCCTTTCCTCAAAATCCCTGGGAATGTGGCAATTTTGCCAGATGCTTAGGTGTTAGCCTTCGCGTTTCTTTTTTTAATCTTCATGACTGTTCTGTACCCTGTCTGCTTGAATTATAGATTGCATTTGTCAAATAACGACACATGCATTTGGATGTCTTCTAAGACCTTTGAAATTCAGCTTCCTTACGTTGAGATTAAAGTGGGTGTTCTGCTGCCCTGCCGCAGTCAAGCCTGGGAGGCTTTGAGACCTGCATTAAAGTTTTTCTGGGCTGGCACTTCTAACTCTTACTGTCTGGAGGAAAGAAAAACAAGCTACTTTTTTCTTCTGAAAGGAAGAAATGGAGACCATAAAAACTATCTAAAATGTGGTCCCAGTTAGAAAGGACTCTGAAATCAACAGCTTTTGGAGACATGACTGTCTGTTGGAGTGTCTTGAAATATGCGTTTCTTTGGGCATGCAGGAAGCGCTATCAGTTGTGAGCGAGGACCAGTCGTTGTTTGAGTGTGCCTACGGAACGCCACACCTGGCAAAGACTGAGATGACCGCGTCGTCCTCCAGCGACTATGGACAGACTTCCAAGATGAGCCCACGCGTCCCTCAGCAGGATTGGCTGTCTCAACCCCCAGCTAGGGTCACCATCAAAATGGAATGCAACCCTAGCCAAGTGAATGGCTCAAGGTAAGGAGACGTCTGCCCCTTTCTCTATTTTCCTATCCCTTTTCCTCCGACCTCCCATTTTCCTGTCCCTTAGAAAGGCAAAGGAGAAGTTAGTCACGCTTCCCCGGAGATCGACTCAGAAAGCAAGGCCACTGCGCCTGTAGTCCAGCCACTCAGGAGGTTGAGAGGCAGAAGAATTGCTTGAATCCAAGAGGCAGAGGTTGCAGTGTGCCAGGATCATGCTACTGCACTCCAGCCTGGGCAACAGAGTGAGACACTGGCTTAAAAAAAAAAAAAAAAAAGAAACAAAGAAAGAAAGCAGCAAGGCCACTGAGTGGTGACGCTGGGCAGCACCGGGAAAATGTGTTCAACAGTGGTCTGTGTAGAGCAGGCGTCCCCAAACTTTTTACACAGGGGGCCAGTTCACTGTCCCTCAGACCGTTGGAGGGCCGCCACATACTCTGCTCCTCTCACTGACCACCAATGAAAGAGGTGCCCCTTCCTGAAGTGCGGGGGCGGGGGGAGGCGGATAAATGGCCTCAGGGGGCCGCATGTGGCCCGTGGGCCGTAGTTTGGGGACGCCTGGTGTAGAGGATAGAGGTTGTAAAATCAGTAGTGTATTACCAAGAACTCTCTTTGAAGATGTGTTCAATTCTATTTCCCAGGCCCGCGGGTTCTGTGGGAGGGGGAGCCTTGCCCACATATGGCAGAATTCATCTGAGGTTTTATTGCCGGGAAAATAATGGCATCTTATGTTTTCACAAAGGGAGAGTTCAGCTAGTGGCCAGGCAGTGCAGCGTAGTCCGAGCCGTTTGATTTGCTAGTGGGTCTCCTCTGTCTGCCCTGCACCCTCACCTGGCCTTCCAGTCCCTGTGGGCCTCTCTTTTTACTGCCTGCTGCTGTTTCTTCCTCTTAGCTTACACATAACCTCCGCTCCAGCGTCTCCTGTAATTGTTAGCTTCCCTGAGTTTGTCGTGAAAATGCAGCTGTCATGTAAAAGGTATTACCAAACGCAGAACTGTCCCTGGCCCTCCAGAAGCATTGAATTATGTGTAGTTTTGAAAAGCAAAATTAATTTCAATTATGATATAATACCTCATATATATTCAGGAAAAATAATATCAAATCTTAAGGTAGAGAACAGATGACTTCTTTTAAATGTTGCATAAGCTACCATCCGGTCATAAGAACAGCTCACACTTTTGGATACTTTACCATGTACAAAGCCCTGTTATATCCAGTAACCCCTCAGTCCTCCAAGCAGCCCCCCATGAGGAATGCTGGGCCCCATTTGATGGATGAAGAAACCTATGATCAGGCATTTCCAATCTGACCCCAAATCACCACTTAAATGGGATCAGAATTTGGATTTAAACCGGGAGTGTTCGACTCCACACCCTGAGCATTTTCCACTCGGTCAAAGCTGTAATGGGGCCTTTTTGTTACATATATGTTTCAACGCTAAAAAGGTTTATTATAAGTGTCACAGTTTATAAGTCTGGAAACCATTGCGTCAATTCCTAGTGTGGTGTAAATGAAGGTGCCAAGTCACAGTGTCCTAGAAGGAACGTCAGCATCACGGCTGGACATGCCAGATGGGGAGACGGGAGATGCCAGAACGCTCCTCCACTCTGAGATGCCAGTTTGCGTCTGTGCAGCTAACTTCTTGAAACGGCGCTGGCTCTGATGCTAAATATTTGCCAATGCACTGGTCCTGTAAGTGGAACTCAAGGCAGGCCCATCTTGGAGCTCATCAAGAGATTCATTCCTGGAGTCAGGAAAGGGCCTGGGTAGACAGTGCAATGATGGAGTCCAGGACGCCAAAGTTGTGGGAAGTTCATGATAACTTTTACCCATAAATCCTTTCCATTTGATAGACTGTTCTGCTGATCATTAACTGTATGTATTTCCGAAACACAGAAGAATTCAGGGTATTCATGTTCTAAAGAATGCAGGAGAGTTTATGCAGAAGAACAGTTGGTGGAACACGGCCTGGAAACGTTGAACGAATTCTGTTTCTGGGTGGAGTCGTATGATCCCATATATGCCAATGTGTTCACGGTGGAGATACTAAGACCAGGACACCTTTCTAAAGCTTTCCTTCTGCAGAGGCTAATTTCTACCTATGGGCAATTCACCTGCAGGGAGGCGGGGGGTGTTGGAAACGGGAGAGAGAGGAAGGAAGCACCTCAGACAAAAGGGCACTGAAATGATTTCCGACAGACAACAGGCAAAGTGAGCCATGTCCTTTGAGAGTTTGGCCTGGGGCCAAGCTAGATTCAGCAAACCTCCAAAGGGAGACTGAGTGAGGAGGCGAGAACAGTGCTCCAGAAATGCAAGTTTCTGTTGTTCTCACTGTGTTACTCCTGAATTTAAAATAAAATAAGCGTTCTGCGTGTGGGAGAAGTGTGAACACTATTTTCCTTAGCATGGGCCTGTGATTCCCCTTGGTAGCTGATGTCTACTCTCCCTCCTGGCCAGGCACAGGGCAGCCTTTCCAGCCTATGTTGTTACCCCAGGGATGCAGGTTGGGAGTTTAGGACAACCCTCAGCCCCAGGCCAGGGGCTGCAGTCCATAAGAAACACACCAGGGCAGTTTCCCCCAGCGCCCTCAGCACAGCACACCGGGGAAAGCTCTTGGGTGGTTCTTCTCTTAGGCAGGTGAAAGGCTGGTGCTGGGCCAAGGGTGTCTTTCTGGGAAATGACATTTTTCAGGGGAACTGGACATTTTCTTTTTCTTCTTCTTCTTCTTCTTTTTTTTTTTTTTTTTAACTGGAGTTACCCTCTTTTTGACCCAGGCTGGAGTGCAGTGGCATGATCTCAGCTCACTGTAACCTCCATCCCCGGGTTCAAGCGATTCTCCCGTCTCAGCCTCCTAAGTAGTTGGGATTATAGATGCCCGCCACCATGCTTGGCTAATTTTTGTATTTTTAGTAGAGACAGGGTTTCACCACATTGGCCAGGCTGGTCTCGAACTCCTGACCTCAGGTGATCCACCCACCTCGGCCTCCCAAAGTGCTGGGATTACAGGCAGGAGCCACTGTGCCCAGCCTGGACATTTTCTTTCAAGGGAACAATGGGGTCTTTAACAGCTTCCTTTCTCAGGGCTTGCGGAATTCTAACAGTGCCCAGAATGCTCCCGTCATAAACTTTCAATGCTGCTCCAGCTCTTGAAGCACCGGTGATGTGTTTTGGCGGGTGGACACTGAGTGAAGACCATCATGCCATCCTCCTCGTCTGCTGGGTCCTCTAGTGAATTCGCAGTGGTGTCGGTTTGGCAGGTGCTGTTCACGAAGAGAACAAGGTGGACCCACCTGGCCCATATGCCTCCTTCGAGGAAAAGGGCAGCTGGGTGTGATATAGGCAGGGGCGGAGCACTGGCTGCAGAGGCCACCCAAGCTTTGAGGCATCTAGCAATGTACACGTGTCAACCAATCACCAAGTGTCATCGTCCCCCAACCCCAAAGATGTTCCAGGAGGAGGGGTAGGAGTGGTTGACACTAATAATCCCCTTTATAGAATAGAAAGATACAGTGCTCATGCCCGTCTCCCCCAGAGCTCAGTGTGTCTCCTGGCATTGCGCCTGGAGCTGGCCTGTTGTATCCATTGGAATTCTCTAGAGAAACTGAACGTATAGGATATTTTAATATTTTAAGAGATTTATTTTCAGGAACTGACTAATGCAGTTGCGGGAGTGGGCAGGTCTGAGGCCTGCAGGGGAGGCTGGCAGGCTGGAAACCAGGTAGGATTTCTGTGTTGCAGTCTCGAGGCAGAATTTCTTCTTCTCTGGAAACTGCAGGCTTTCTTCTTAAGGCCTTCAGATGATGAGATGAGGCCCACCCGTGTTATCCAGCGTAATCTCCTTTAGTCAAGGTCAACTGACTGAACTACCTGCACAAAATGCCTTCCCAGTACCACCTCAGTTAGCATCGGATTAAGTCACTGGGTGCTACACCCTGGACAAGTTGACGCAGGGAACTGACTCCCACACCTGACTCCCATGGATGCTGCCCTGGTCAGTGACTGATGACCCACTGTACTTTTTAGATCTCTGAGCCAGTGTGCTCTGGGGGGCCAGTTCGCTGTTCCTGCTGGAGCTCAGCCTGGCTGGACAGCAAGTGGTAAATGGGGTGGTGTGTCAGGTCAGAAGCTCACTAGGGGGCTGCTGAGGCTTAGTGACCTGGAGGAGCTGCAACATGGTGAGTCAGTGTCCTGCTATTCAGAATCCAGCAGGCTTCCCTGAAGAGGAATGGGGAAAGGAAAGCTGAGAGGTTATCAGTGGAGCTAAGGCTTATCCAATCTGCAGGCTTTGCTGACTCACTGTGAGCAATTTTTTTTTTTTTGAGACAGAGTGTTGCTCTTATTACCTAGGCTGGAGTCCAATGGCGCGATCTCGGCTCACTGCAACCTCTGCCCTCCAGGTTCAAGTGGTTCTCCTGCCTCAGCCTCCTGAGTAGCTGGGATTACAGGCACAAGCCATCACACCTGGCTAATTTTTGTACTTTTTAGTAGAGATGAGGTTTCACCATGTTGGCCAGGTTGGTCTCAAACTCCTGACCTCAGGTGATCCACCCGCCTCTGCCTCTGAAAGTGCTAGGATTATAGGCGCAAGCCACTGCACCCTGCCTCACTGTGGGCTCTTTAGGAATGTCAGGTCCAGCCCCACAAAAAGGAACATGGGTGTGATTCACTCTGCTTTATTTTGGACACTATGAACCAGCCCTTGACTGTGTCGTCCTTGCCTGAGGGGCTGGGGCAGAGGGAGGGTTCATGGAGACACAGCCTGGAGGGGCTCACAGCAGAGATGCTGCAGGGCTGGGTGTGCCCCCCCCCCCTCCTAAGCAGCCGTGCTTCGGGGGCAGCTCCTGAACGCTCCACTGCCTGCACCTGCCTCCTTGCATGTGAAGATACACTCAAGGTAGCTGGCAAAATATTAAGGGAAATATTAGGAAAGTTATAAGATTATAGTCTCAAACCTTTTGGAAGGCCGAAAGGTTTTTATTAATTTATGGAATGGACTG